GTACAAATGCAATTAAAGCAACGCTTGGTAACTTTTAGCCACTAGGGGGCGCTAGACCAAAAACCTTTGGGTTTAGCTCCACTTGTAACATTAAATTAATCTGTGAGCAAATCACGTTGGTCCAGCAGATTTAGAAGTCGTGGAGATACCTGTAAAGATCAGAAAACCAAAAATATATCTGATCAGGTATGATTCATATCAGTTTAGTTGCCTGATAACAACTTTTAGCTTGTTAGGTTCTGGTGTCTAAGGGGAGCTCAGACTGCCATAAAGTGCTGTTCTAGGTCACAGAAAGCATCAATATGAGCCAAGTGCTGTATGATGATCTGAGAAATCATTTAATTTATTTCAGCAAATACTTGGGTCAAATGTTTCTCAGTGTCTGATAAGAGTGTCGGGGTGAAATATCAGGACGTAAATGCAGTTCTTTCATGAAAAAAAAAAAAAAAAAAAAAAAAAAAAAGAGTAAGGAAATTTATACGGCCAAGAAAAACAACCTGAAGTAAAATGAATACACAACAAATAAACTTTGAGTTTAAGGTTTGCATTAGTTGTTTACTTTTTGTCAATTAAATATAAGGCATGTTTAGGAGAGGACATCCCAGCTAATCCAAAGAAGGATCAGCAAAATGAAAGATAAAACAAGAGCCTTTACCCTTAAGTTTCATGGACAAAGAAATAAACAAGTGTGATATGTTTCCAGAAGAGAGATTTTCTCTTTAACAAAAAAAAAAAGAGTAAAGATGCCACAGTTTAGATCTCAAAAGCCTCTTCTGAATGAATTATAACATGTCTGGAATGGTGTGCTTCAGCAGGATGAGGCGGAAGTATCTGGACACCCAATACCTGTCTATGTCTCTTTGGCTTAAAAAACATGCAAATTGATCCGGAAGAACGGATCTCGCCTGGGCAGCCGAGCCAACAATTGCCCCTTATGAGCCCCCTTTCAGAGACATAGACAGGTATTGGTTATTGCGGCCTAACAAAGAACCCAATGCAACTCCCCATTCCTAAGGGGCGGACACGTTCTGGTTCAATTTCCATGTTTTCTATGCCAAAACAAGTTTTTGGGCTACTCTATAAAGCTTCTAACTCAACGCCAATTCTCACATTTTGTATTGAAAAAGCCTCCTGGATGGGAAGCGAAACATCTTCAAACTTGGAAACCAAGTCCAGTGGATTGTTTTTTAACTTTTTTTGGAATGACTATGACCTGAATGACTGAGAATCTTAACCAGCAGCACCAACATGGCAGCTCCATGTTTGGAAAGGAAGCAGACAGCATAGCAGCTCTAACTCCCAAAACAAAAAGTAAAGGATGATTTGGGGGGATTGTGTTTTTCTTTCCGGACATTCAATCTACAATGATTGTATTTCAGAGTCAAATGTAAGATCACTGACCATATCTACGACTAAATGGCCTGCATAAAATTCCAACCTCAATTTAAATGCTATAGTTTGTTTAGACATAGAGATAGCAGAGCAGAAACAAAAGCCTGTTAGCCTCACTGAACAAAAGCACTGCTGTAAAGATGACTGGTTAACAATGGTGTGAGAGGCTAACAAAGCGTCTGCCATTGAATGAAACTAAAATAGGGATTGCCTGGTTTCAGCACTGGTTTAGTTTCCTTAAAATCAAAATTCAGATTTTGCTGTAACTTTTTTGCCTTGAATAAAAGCAGACAGAAGCCACATGATCACAAACCCTACATCTGCAGGCTAAGTTGTGAATACAAAGAGCTGACACATTGTTAAAACCTCAGAACCAAAGAGAACTCCTGAAATCTACAGGCAACCATAGTAAGACCTGCAATGATTTACAGTACAAGGCTGAAAACCTGAATAAAACATTAAGCTGCTGTGTTTTTCATTTAAAAAGCCTGTTTTATTATAGACAAAATGAGCAGTAGGCAAACAAACATCCCCCTCAAACACCTCCACGCCGTCGCACCTTGCCAAAGCTGCCTTTGCCAAGGACCTTGATAAAATTAAAGTCCTTCAGGGTCCTCCTCTGGCTCTGTCCATTCTCCCTGGCTGCCGAGGAGGAGGACGAGGAGTTGGTGGAGGAGGAGGAAGAGGAAGATGAGTTTTGGGGTCCCTGCTGGTCGAGCGACAGGGCGTCCTGCAGGCGGTCCAGGCCTGCCAAGTCTGTGGGTGTGATCAGAAAAGCAGAGCAGACATAAGTAAACATCACCCTACATTTTTGTTTCCTTAGATTTGAGTTATTATTTCAATTCTACAGGTAAAAACAAATTAAATTTAAATGACAAATAATAAAAAATTGTAATAAAAGGGCTGAATGAATCTTATTCCAATAAACAAACACATCATCTACATATGAATAGTTTTTTTCTTCCTTTTTGTCCCCCATTAATAATAAAAAAGTTTATAAAAATGAAAATCATGTATGAATATAGTTAGTCATGTCATTATAACTATAGTTATTACTTTTATTATTATTAAAAGTAGCAGCAGTTTGGTTCATACCAGTCATTATTGTCATTCATCCGCTTAATATTACTATTATTATTACTGGATTGGTTAGAAGGCTCATAAATGAAAATGATGCATAAGAAACAAGACTCCACAAAGAGAAAGTTAACTTTCCACTTCTCAGCTTGCAAAGTGTGATAATGACTAACTGTGATAACCAAATGGCGGTGGGCGGTGCGGGATAATTCACAGCTAGTCCCTGGATCTACACAAACAGATCTCTCCAATTATTTCTTAAACCAGTACCTTTCCCTGGTTTAATTAATTTAAAACAGTTTTGCTACTGAAACCTATCTTAAAATGGCTTTATGAGTCTGATGGGTTGTTTTTTTTTAAAATCATTTTTGTGTTTTATTTCTACATCAGTGATTTGCGTGTCCATGTGTGCAGAGTGTTACCCTGCTGCGAGGGGGAGGTGGGGACAGCTGGCTGGCTGAAGCTGTTCTCCTCCGTCTGAGAGAGCTCAGGAGGAGACTGAGGAGGGTCCTGCCCTGGAGTCAACTGGAAACACACAGAGACATCATCATCATTCCTTTCCAACATTAGTTTCACAATCGTCACAGGCACAATGTGAAGAAAGACATCATTATGTCTGTACTCCTTTAATGAAATATCTTTTAGATTTGATGACCCTCATAAACAGGATCAGGATGCTGCTTCTCTCTACACAAAAATGTCGAGGAGGGCTGGATGGAAGCTATCATAAAACAGAATAAATATGTTTTTCATGTCCTTGTGACACGGTCCAATAGATTTCTTTTTTTCCTAAATTCAGGTAGAAGCAGCAACATTTCCATAATTACAATAAAGTAAAGTTATTTCTGATATGTATACATTTTTTTATGTTATAACCAAAAACCTTTTCCTTTATTTCAAAAGGTCATTTTAAAAACCAGGTACTTTACCTTCCAAAATATGAAAATCCCTGACTACTCTGCTTTGGTCCATCACATAAAATCTTATTGAAATATTGAAAACATTTTTGTTATGACAAATAAAGGAGACATTTCAAGGCGGCGGGAGACTGTAAATAGGAGGTGTCTGCAACTCTACCTGCAGAGGGATTTATATGTAAATTATCTTAGGCTCATTTGATTAAACCAAGCCAGAGTAAAATCGATGTAGGAAGATGGTAGATATTCTGTCCTTAATGGTGTTTTTATATTTTTAAATCTCAGCTACATTGTAGAAAATGTGGTCCTTATTTACACCCATGTAAGATGGAAAAAATGCTTTTCTTTTCAAAGATTTCCTAAATCTTTTTTATTAAACAAAGTTTCACATTATCTAACAAACTTTGGTATCTAACAAAGATAACTAGCAAATATAAAAAGTAATTTTAAAGTGGCGATTATCTGTCTTGTATGTTACAGGGCAAAGGATCTGTAGGGATCATTCCTTCTCAGAAGCCATAAAAGAGCTTTTCAAGCATGAATGGAAAACTTGTGAGGTCTTCTTATCAGCACCTTAGTGAACCTTGTCTGGTCTATTTCGTTGGAAAACTGGTGATCTCCTCAGGCGGACCCAAGTCATCCACTAAGGAAGGACTGTTTACTTTCCCTCAGAGAGCAGAAAGTCTTTCCTATCCTTTCAGTTTACTGCTTTCAAAACCTCAGAGTGTGTTATATTTACATTTTATGTCCCACTTCCTGGTGTAACACAACTTCCCCTAGGGGATAATAAAGATACTTTAAATCTTATCTGGCGGTCAGGCTGCAGCATCTTAATATGACTGAAAACTAGACTTTGTTTAAAAACGTCCCAAAACATTCTTCTTCTTTCTTTTTTTGTGATTTAAAGCTGGAACTCCTAGAGCATTTTGGGTCATTTTAGTATTTTCATGAAACCAGGAAAATCATCATTGTGATTAACTGTTTCTTTGTAAAGGGAGACCAAAGATTTCATTTCCTAGCTGTATAACAAAACTGTGTACAGAAACTGATGGCTCCTTATACTCCTTTATGATTAGAGAGCGGGATTCATGGCTCCATCAGTCGCAGCAATTTGTTTAGGTTTAGAAGAAGCAAAGCTGCTCCAGACAATAACATTACTGCAATGTTTGACTGTAAGCATGTTGTTCCTTCACACAACGTCCAGAAGGTTTTTCCTCTTTTTTTTTTAAGTCAACATAATATTTAGGTGTCTGGATCATCAAGACAGTTTTGAAATGTAAGATGTAAGATCTTGTGTTCTTTTAGTTCAGCAGTAGTCTTTATCTTCAACCACTCCCATGGATGCTACGGATGTTTGCTCCTCCCACCCTCTTATTCTTAAATGCAGACTGGTTGATTTTGTGCCCTAGGGCATTAAACGTTGTTCTGGATTATTTCCAGATTTTTTTTCCCCCAGCTTTTATTGTCATTACTCTGTCACAAGAACAGAGAAACAAAATGAACTGTCTGCATTTAACCCATCCACTTGGGGAGCAGTGAACTGCCATTGTGCAATGCCTGGGGAGCAGTGTGGGGTTAAGGGATCTTTGCTCAGGGAGCCAGAGTGGCAGTCTGTTGAAGTGGGGCTCAAACTCAGAACCTCAGGATTCCAAGCTCTATGCCTTAACCACTAGGCCGGAGTCTGATGGTTGCTTTTTGAAATTCCATATCATGTTGTCCGTTTGTGGATTTTGTTATTCGTTAGGTCTGGGTGAGGAAAAATTCTGATTAAATTTCATTTAGGATTCAAAAATGGGGCCAACGGTTTCATACATACGGTCAGATGGAGTTGGATTGCTTTCTTTATGAGCCACAAATTTGCTCTATGAAGGTGACTTTAATTTTGTCTTATGAGTTGACACATTTAACAGCAACAAAAAGCAAAAGCAGAGCTAGAAATATGATTAAAAAGTTTATACTGTTTTTTTTAAGGACAGTTACCCCATATCTGTTCTGCTTTTAGGTAATAGTTTGGTTACCTTCCTCCTGCGCTGTGCTGTGTTGGAGATTTTGTCAGGTGTGACTCCCAGGTCAGAGAGCACCTTAGCGATTCCTCTGGCGTCCACCCCACAATTAGGAGCTACATTAGTCTCACAGCGCCTGTGCACATTCATCTTACAAACTGCCGAAAAAACAAAAAAAAACAAGAGAACATAAAATAAATCAGGACAGAAAGCTTTGAGGCTGGAATACGGTATATAAGCAGGTCAGAGGTGGGAAAGACAAAAACAGGTGCCCATCTGTGTGGCATCTTTCCATTAAAGATGGCAAAAAAGATCACAGATTTTACAGTGATGACCTAATACATACAGTATATATAACACTTAAAAACTTATTGTCCCAGGCTAATAAATTCTTAGCAAATATTGTATTTTGGTCAGTTTAAAATCTGTCACATTTTAGAGGTGCTAGACGAGGTCTTATCTCAGTTCAGCAGAAAGCAGGACACTAAATCAAACCCATCTGTCCAAATGCACAAGCTAAAATGACATCACTCCTTTTCTGATGGCACAACAGAGCTCCTCCAGCTGATCCAAGCTAGATTTATCTTGCTTTTTCTGAGACCTTTTCTGCATTAAATGGGGGTCATGTCGTTTGAATTGTCTTAAATGACAGAATCGTTTTAAAAGCTTTCTATCTTCTGACAAAAACAGTTTAATTCAGGAAGTTTTGAACTCAAATGGAAAACTGCACTCTTAATACACCTGTTGAAAAAACCTTGATATTGTGGTTAAGATACGGTCAAGAATTATATGATAAACAACAAAACAATTGTTCTATATTCTATTTTTTTCATTTTTGACTTTTGGGAAAAACATTTAGTCCTCTCTCTGTTTTTTCCAAGCCGAACCCAAACTCACCTTTACACTGAAGGCCCTGCCTCATGAGGCCCCACAGCAGAGAACCACAGTGGTCACAGAAGGTAGGCACCTTGTAGTTGTGGATACTGAACTTGTGGGGCATGTTAACACTGAAACGCTGTGAACCCACCTGCAGAGGGAGACACACCCACACAAACACCAACATAAAGATTTAAACAGAGGAAGAGTACACAGGTTTGTTTATCCAGAAGGCAGATTTCCTACTGCTCTATTCAGACAGGGAGACTTGAATGATCCTGCTGTTTATCAGTTAATACAGTTAATACAGTTGGAACCAGATTTTTGGAAGTCCTATATATTAAGATATGAACTTTTCTTCCTGTGTTACATTATATCAGTCTGTTTTCTAAACACTAGAAAACAATAAGTGAAAAGTTACATACTATAACACTATTTTCTTTCTAAACAACTTAGGAAAGCCCAAGTTATATTTATATATATATATATATATATA